ATGTTTACATTAAGTGTCAACTGCCGACATTAAAACAAAGCTCTGTTTCTATCAATACCTTTATAAACACTACTTAATAACACTATATGTCTCCTATCTTCTTAAACACAGCGTGGTTGATTTCAACCTGTCGCATGTTTATTTCACATGACCGAGTGAGCTTATTCGTCTGGCAGTCCAGTTTACAAATATTGGTTTATAACAAGCCTTGCGAGCTGGAATTAATGAGGTCATACCTATTTCTTCGAAAATATACACGTGTGCCGCATCGTAAATGAGAGTGCGTGTTTATACGTTTCACGGTATATGTGAAACATATTTGATTTGGTGAAGAGTATGGAATCTGTCCCAAGCGGGATTTGTAGATATGAAAATCCCGTGAAAAAATAACAAATCCTAAAAATATGCATCAAAGGGCAAGTTCAGTTATTTTGCCAATTTCTATTCTTTGAAAACGTTAAAAAATGTGCATTGAAAACATTTAAGTTTCACGATAGATTGTTGTGGGTACAGTACCTGGGATACATCCAGGTAGTGTCAGATATTAGTTTCTGGCGTTTGTATCCAGGAATAGAAACGAATGCGTCATTCACAATGCTTAAATGAATGTCATATTTACATAACTCTTACAGTCCATGTCATTAAATGTCGAATATTAAAAAAATGGCCTCACATTCATTCACAAATGCAAGCCCTCTCAGATAAGCAGAAAACGCAGGATGACTTAATATTTTGACCCTGACGATAACCCAAGAACCTATTTCAAATCGTAGCTGATACCGTATGTTGGTTAAGAAAATATATGTATATCTACATTTCAGACGTTTAATGTTTGTTTATAAATTGTATTCATCAATGTCAAGGCTTGTTTATTCCATGCTACACAAATCGCCCACTAGAGATACAAATACATTTGGTGAAATGTTTTAACCATTTTTTACGCGATATTTGAGGATTATATTTGACACCTGCTGATGTATTTTTTTCATTTAAATTTACAATGAATTCAAAGAAATTGGTAAAACATTTTAGTTGATCTAGAAATAATGATTAAACGCTTATCAGGCATGTTAAAACCAAGTTCATCCCCTTCAAAGTAAATACTCTGGCCCGGTTTTTTCGTGTCAGTAATAGACCTTCCTCTATTACTTGTTACTGACATTTCTAATTTTCTTTTAAAAATATTATTAATATTAATATTATTTTACACAGCTACCTTACAGCATAATTGAAAACATATCTGTTTCGTAGTTTTCTGTTACTGAATAGCTTCACACGGGAGCTGTTCACTTTTGTTGTTGTTTTTTGTTGTAGTTATTCTAGTAGTTGTTGTTGTTGTTGTTGTTGTTGTTGTTGTTGTTGTTGTTGTTGTTGTTGTTGATGATGATGAGGAGGAGGAGGAGGAGGACGTTGTTGTTAAATCCATGTCCTGTCCACGTAAAGATTTATAAGCTCATGAGAATGAGGTAACATCTACCATTCTACAAGATAATTGTACAATGAAACTGGTGGATACAAGTCTTACCTAGGAACAGTTAAAAATAGCATGAAATCTAGCAAAAGATGGAGTATATTGTCTTTCAAAGTGTGTTTGTCAAGTAAACGAAAATATTCACCAGACGACAAGGAGAGGATGAAGTTATCGATTTATGGCAGGAAAACAGTACTCATTTATCAGTTGCCATGGTAACATATATATGAAGTATTATTTATTTCTCAGACTTCTGTCTTCGCGAGGAGTTAACAAATTTATGACCAGTGATATTGAATAGCAATTATATACATTTGCCGCGAGAGTACTCAATCAGGCGACTGTATAAGCCTGAACGTGGATACAGCTGAGCAGGGAGTACTTGCCCAGCAGAACATATTGTTCTATTTGTTTTGTGATTATTTTTATAATTTAACTGTGAGTACAATCTACATAAATTTACAAGCTTTGTTTTTTCTGTATAAAAGTATTTTTTATTCCCTGTCAACACCAAGAATGTATAGTCTAACTATATTCAAAGTTAGCTCGAATACATGGTCGCACGTCAAGACAACTAAAGAATTCACCAACGTTATTTTTTCTACTTATCAAAACAAACAAATACCAAACCCACCTGTGTATTTGGTAAGAATTCATAAAATCTGCGAATCGAGGGTGGACTAAATATTCCCGTTTTTTTCAAAGACATTTCCATGTCAGTGCAAAGTCATTCCGCATCCTAAACCGTCAATCACTTTTGTATGAACCCAGAGGGATTACAAATATTATCCTGGCTTTAGTCGCGGATTCGGATGCGTTTCGGGACTTATTAGCTCAATTTAATATTTCTCTTGCCGGGGGAAAAATTCCTTCCGTTGAAATCTCTCCCCGACCACAGTAAATTTGGGTCTGAAAGACACGGTTCCAGACCGCGTTTCTTAGCGAAACAGGAAACGCCAAATTAGAAGAAAATCATGAATGCACTGAACCTTTTAACGATTTTAGCTAAACGGCGATTCCGTTTTCTTCCCGGTTTCTTGTTTTTATTTGTACCGTTGATTTTCACCTTGTTCCTATTGTTTTCCAGTAAGAGCGGTATTCCATTTCCGACATCATGATAACGTGATTGTAAGGGTTTGTTTTCAGAATTTCTGTTGACACAAATTGTCTTTGTAATGATGGATTTCCTTGGTTTAATTGACTTTTATTGTTTCTCGTTTCCTTAGTTTCGTCAATAGCATGTACACAATAACTTATCCAAGAAGTTGAATAAACTAATCGCACACTTAATCCCAAAATTTAAAGCAACAAAGTTTTCCTATTTTTGTTGTGAGCGAATTTTTTGGTTGGTTTGCAAGTTGAAACAAATTTCACTTTACATATTTAACTCGGAGTTATAATAAATGCTTAGTTTATTTCATCTCCTGCAGATAAAGGACATTAAAACAATACAAAGGCGTTCAGTCTTTTATGTTTAAACACAAAAGTTTGTTCTTTTAACACATTTGGTAATCAAAAGAAATATATTGTATAAATGATATTACTATTCACAAAGGTTTGAAGTTTACTATCGACATAAACCACTCAAGTCTGATTTGAAATTCGTTAACATGAGATTTTTTAAACCTGCCCCCGGTATGAAATGTGATATACTTTCGAAAAATCTAATTGTTTGCAGCTGTTCATAATTTTAGAACAGATTATGCTTTCAAGCGAAATTAATCTGTACATTAACAAGGGTATGTAATAAACAAATCTAACTTGCTCAATATTCTGACGCTGGTATTGATTTTTCGGAAATGCTCCCGATTCCGGGGCCGCAAAAGAGAAATATGCTAGAACTAATGATGACTGATGACGCTGAAGCAATGATTGATTGCTATAGCTGCCAACCGAGGACTTCTTCACCGGCCACATTTTATTCATATTTCGTTTCTTGAGTTTTAATTTTGTGATCCGAGGCATTTTGGTGCTGAGGGTTGATTGATATGTAAAGTCAAATTTGAACCATATGATGTTATTATTCATTTATTAAATAACTGTTATTGATATTGTTGATACAATTTAATCATATAAAATTTTCCTCGATAATAAATGCGCTCACTCTCTTTGCGTCTTAACTTGACTTATTAGCGAAACCACTGACACTATTTATACTGTGTATTGCTGTTCTGTTCTGAGCTGAGCGGTATTTATTAAAGCAACAGGTGATAAATATAAACTGACAAATACGTCAACACAAAAACTGTAATTATTCCATAAATTCCCGGAGCATGTGCCGATTATCTTGACAAAACGTGAACTAGTTGACTGGAAACAGTATCTTAATTCGATACACCGTTTTCAGTTGAATTCTTCCGGTATCAGATTTATGAATGAATGACTGCAGCTATCTCGTGACCAGTCGAGTTTGCGTTGAAGGGCTAATTAGGAAATGCTATTCGACGTACAACTTCATTTGACTATCCTGTTACCGTCATTAATTGAGCTTTCAATCCTTATGCCGCACGATTGTGAGAAGGCGATCTGACAACCAAACCCTGTTATATTTTTTCCAGTGTCATAAGTAGCCTCGTTGCTTTGGTCCGTGCAGGTATCATCTAGTAAGAGGGCGTGACTTTGAAACTATTTCGTGCATTTGTGACTCCGCGGGTCGTGAATTTATGAATGAAAGGAGACTAGTCGTCAATCTATTAGTATCTTTCTCTGCGTTAGAATTCGCGACGTTGCATGCTGGGATAATTAACACTTCCTACATAGTGATATGACGTCAGGTAGCCTTGAAGCATGTCTTATATCAATATGTAAATATTATATTAATATATGATGATATCCACTATATTCCAATACGCTAGGGTAATATATGTGTCATGTTACAGCAATGAAAGATTTCAGCGTTGAGATTCGAATATTCCGTTGAAATTTCCGTTACTAGAAAGTTATTAAAATTATTGATACAGTTTCAAATTTCAAAGACGATTTTATCAGTATTTCGAAGTCAAATACGTGCTTACGTCGACTGGAGCTCTGAAGTCTTGAGTGTTTGAGTATTCCGAGAAACGTACAGTTATCTCTGTTGAATACTGTTCTTTTCCTACGGTCAACTTAGATTCGTAATAACTAGGATCAGAAGTCAGCGACAAACCACTCTTGGCATGACGAATTCAATGTGATAATATCAGACAGTTCGACTCAACTGAATTGAAGTTAACTATATGTATCCACATGGTCATTTTGCTACTTTGGTATATCTGAACGTGATTAATTTATTTTAAAATAATTATCCTATTACTTTATCAACAGGTCTCGTGTGTATGTAAATCCGGCATATGGAAGTTTTGTTATAGTGCTGTAGATCGGTGCTCATGATATCAGTCACTGGATTGTCTGGTCCAGCCTTATTTACAGACCGCCGTCATATAGCTAGAAAATGTCTGAGTGCGACGTTAAACAAAAACCAAACAAACGTTGGTGTAAGTGGACGTAGTAATTATAAATAATTATTTAAAATTATATTTCTTTGTTACAGGTCTTGGCCCTGGGGAAAACCCTGACAGACCCGGGGAGGTACTCGACCGGGAGGGATATCAACACCAGACCCCCCGACAGAAGAGGGTACGGACGTCGTTTAAACACCATCAGCTGCGGACGATGAAATCTTACTTTGCTCTGAACCACAACCCTGACGCAAAAGATTTAAAACAACTAGCTCAGAAAACGGGTCTCTCCAAACGTGTTTTACAGGTATGTTGTTGGATATTAATCGTTACAGTTGGTCTGTGCATTCATTTGTATTTGTTATATCGATTCATTGGTTCAATTGTTTATCAAACTAAATTATGACCTCTACCAAGTGTTGTTACTGTTTATATTATCTATAGAACAAATCACTATCATTAACTCACCCCAGCATTCTTGTACAGGCGTTCATTCTTATTAATATTAATTGCATTTACTTTGTAAAATTAAAATGTAACATTTATACATTTTAATTAATTTCAGTTGTGTGGAAGGTAGTCCGTATGATAATTATTAATATACCAAGAACACTGTCCGCGGTTTCGTTAGATGATTGACAGCGTCGTGGGTTCTAAAAAAATAAAATAGGCTGATGAAAAATATTGATATCCCACTCAAACTAGATTAGATAAACATTAAAAGCGATGTCCGGACCCTATTAAAAGCGCCTCAATGAGTATATCGTAACGCTTGCAATGGTTTAATACATTTCCCTACAATGAGCATACGTTACAGGTTAATGCTGAGATTTTTCAAATTTGATACTCATTGAAATTCAATGAACCTCAAGTTTATCGCCAAGTATTTGTTCAAAATTCAATAAACAGGCTTGCTATTTATATTCCACTTGATAGCTTTGTGAACAGAAACACATGACATGAACACAAGTGCAGGCAGGCAACGGGCCCACTAAGTCCCCTAAACAAGACGTGCAAAAGCGACCAAAAACTGACGTTATTGTCAAAAACGGGAAAAGAGGCCTATTTGTCCCTCCGTTGCCATGGACCACACAGGATAGGGAGAATCCGGGTTCGTTTACCTAGTGTAAATTTTAGTGTTTACCGAGTATCATTTTACATCTACCCAGTCCTCCACGCACCCGGTGAATGGAAGGGGTAGGAGAATGTCCCCCTGCTTCACCGATGTAGTTTCTATGGGTTTTGTTGCTCAGTAGTTTTGTCATTGTTCCTGTCAACACCTTCCAATGTTTACCAAGCTAGGAAGACTTCTCTTCAATTGAAATGCATTGAAAAATACAGAAAGACGATATTAAGGGAGTTGTAACGCTCCTGAGAAGTGCACTGCACTGGTGAGTCAAATCAATCCACAAAAATATTTTAACTTTAATTCAATTTTCTAAAAAGATAAATTGTTATTATCGAGAGAATTATATGTTAGATTACCTTTACAAACTGCCTGCAAATAGAAAGTATACACGCATGACATTTTAGAGGGTGGTTGGTCGCTGTTAAAAGGCAACAAGCAAGACGTGGTTATCCAAAGTTGATGTAAAGAACAGAGTACATTTTATCTGATTGAGTTGTTTCACAGTAACGTTTTGATAACGTAAGTGAGTTTTTGGTCTGATTAATTTTTAAGTGTCAGCTTCCATTTGCCAGGGCGTTAGATCGATACTCGTATAAAATAAATTCAACATACCGAAATATGTAAATGACAAGTATTTAATGTAAAAATATTTATCATCTTTATGTCCCAATTTAATTATTCTTGCAGTTTCGTTCCAACAAGATAAAAGTGTAACAGTTCTAATGAAAACAAACAGCACGGACAAAATGATTATCGTCTTCGGTAATTAGGGGTGGTTTCCGCCCTTAAGATAGACTGATTCTATTGAGGGTTGTGGTTTCACCTTTAGTTACAGAGACCATTCACAATCCCCCGTCTTACGAGATGGGCGGGTTAGTGCTTAAGGTTTATGTACCCCCATGGTCCCCGGTTCTTCAAATATTTGTTGCCCCTCTTAAAAGGCAAAAATAGATTTCCAGTCGTTTTTGACACGTTCATAGTTTTATACACACCCGCTCCTTGGCTCCCAACGACGCGAGCACGTCGCTATGTTTACCTTTTTCTCACCCAGGACCGGTAACTTCAATAACCAATTGAGACGAAACATTGCCACCCTCTAAAATGTCATGTAGTTCCCGAAAAAGTTTTTAAAAGCCTTGGCAAAACTGTATAAATATCAGAAACCGAAATTCAAGAGGCGATGTGCGGATATTTCAGATACAAAGCAGTATTCATGTCCCGCGTGAATGGCTTCATGTTCCGGTCTAAGTGACGAGCATTTCCAAGCAGTTTCGTTTATGTACCTAAGATCTTCAGTCATTTTTAATCGACCGAGTAATATTAAGTAGCATATTTGTCGAGCAGTTGTAACCAACAGGGGTAAATGTTGGAGTTATTGTGCGGCTACTTACGTCATCAGGGTGTATTGAAATCGAAGACCGTGTCAGATTACATTACGATAGTCATAGAGCTTTGAATACATCATACGTTAAGGTGTTTATTGCTGATAGAAGAGCTATTAACACATGTCACTTGCAGTCATGCAATGTGTGCAGGAGAAGTGACACGGGTGAAACTATTTGGGAATTGACTTCTGTGACCATAGCGACAGGTGCAAATGTTTGCATAGTTACTAGAATGGCATCGTGGGGCTTTTAATTCTGAAGGAGAATTGATTCATGCTATTTATGTGCTGATTTGAACGAAACATGCGACTGGAATACATCGCACCTGTGAATATCAATCCATCAAAGATGACAGCTTGAACACATATTTGTGTATTGCATGTACTCAGAGTAAGTGAGTGAGGGACTGTTCGCTATTTACACTAATACAAGACTCATGACTTAAGAAATAGGCCAGATATGTGGGGCGTCGAACCTGGGTTTGAGCGAACCACTTACCCACATGACCACTCCGCCCAATATCCATATGTATTTTTAATCTACGTATACTAATGGTTGAATATCGTTTGCAGGTTTGGTTCCAAAATGCACGTGCAAAATACCGCCGAAATCTACTCAAGCAGCAAGACTCTGACAAGGGAAACTCCAACACAAACGGGAGCTCGAACGGAGATAAATCCAAAGACTCTCACGATCAGTCACTCACCGATCTCTCCAATACCCGATCTCCCGCCCTGTCGGACATCAGTTCGAACGCCTCCCTGTCGGACATCCAAACTCCAGCATTGGACACAGATCAGGGCAGCAACAGCATATCTGATCTCTTCTCAAGCACAATTGCCTCAATAAACTAGCGAATCCGGACACCTGTGTACCAAACAGAGATTATTTTCAATTCAACCTATGTTATATTTATTGAAAGACCAGAATAAAGTCTGGTTGACATGGTGTACAGTTAAGCGGGAAAATTCCGCGATTTTGTAATCGGATGTGTATAGTTCGACATGTGAAACAGTTCGGCAAACAGACATGAATGTGGACGAAAAGGCCTGATAGCATTATGTCGCCTAGTTCGGCAATGAGACATTGTTGATGACGTTCGGCTGAAGGTTTAAAACGATCTACTTTGTAACAAAAAGTGCTTTTGAGGTCCCAAACAACGGATATTTTTTTCAAGTGCTAGCTAGCTGAAATGAAATTTATGAAGAAAACATACTCAACTGAAATGATTAGACAACCGGAAGTGCTATGTGTGATGGGAACACTCACAGTTATTCAAAACAAAACCCAGCAAACGTGAAATTGACTTTTTGCTCGGCATACAAGTGTAAATAGTTGGAGAAGGACTATGCTAAAAAGTTGGTTTCTCGCCCAGAAGCGAGAAAAACACTAACTGCTCAAATATGCCGCACGTGCAAGATTTGGAAAAAATGCTTTTTGTGTGGACCGTTTATGATTTTAAGGTGCAGCCAACTCAAATGTGTAGCAGATAAAAGACGGAACGGCGCTTTCTTTGTATTCTGTAGATACATTGAATTAAAAACAGTCAGTGGTTCCTCTTTGAACTGATAGCGAGCATGTGTAATGTGGTCCACGTCCTCTCATGATGGCGGCTGGCGTTTGGATCCGGGCTGATACAAAATCAAAAACAGATTTCAGTCCGGTTACGGAACCGTATGTGAGACGAAAATACTTTAGTAATACAAGGCACATTCCAAAGAGCTGCATGTGCAATGCTGATGTAAGCTATGAAAAGTAGGATTCCTAAACGGAAACATGGATTCATAATCCACGCTCTCAGACTGTCGAGCTTTACAGTAGGTTTTATATCGCATTCATCATTGGATGGTTTAGATTTATAGATTTTGATTTATATCGACACAGTTATTCCTCTTTCGCAAATGTGATATGAAGTTTTATCTCAACTATCGAAATACAAACCTAACATTATAAAAAGGCATTTAATCTCATCACCCAATACTTTCTTTTAGTTATAAATGTTGAATATAATAATTTAAATTTCAGTATGTCGAGTTATAAATATCTACAGGTGTACAATACAGGTGTAAAATGGATTGGTAAACCCAAGCTAAATCTCACATATCGCCTTCTCTTTGATGATTTGATGTGACTGTTTAGGTAACTTTTACATCATACTACCCCCATGTGTTGTTTGGGGGAGGACGGGGTTATTCTTTGGGGGAACTGGCAAGCAGATGGTGACGTGAGTGTCTGGGTACAGCGAGGGCAGAATGGGTAAAGGGAATGCAGGTTAAAACACATTTCCTTCTGCTCAGCAGATTCTGTCGAGCGCTTGTGTCGATATACCAGGTGCAATATTGAATGTGGGAAAAAGGTGCAAAGTCCGCATTGTTTTATCCGCCAACTGAGCTATGATTCTGGTTCCTATTCAGCTCACTCGCACCGGAAGTTCTAACAAAATTACGCCCCTTTTCTTGAAATTTATTAATTTCAACCTGTATCTACTCTTCTTTATGAATCTTTTTGTTTTAAGTCATTGATGGTTTTTAATGCTTGGACTTAGTTGTGCCAGCCATTATGATCGTGTCGATGTGAATCCCAGATTTCCTTATCGTGAATTAGCCGTGTGTGTTTCAGGATATTCTCACTTTCTGATCCAACTAGCACAAAAGGCGTATAAATTGGGATCGGGGACGAAGGAAACGAAACGAAAAAGAACTCAAAGACCCTTCACGTCTGTAGCTCATTAGAAGAATGTAAAGAACCTAACATGGGACAGAATCATTTTTATTGGTTGATATTAACAGCTGACATGCGGTCTGCTATTTCGCCTTTGGGCGTGGCTCAGATAAAAGGGACATTTTTATGATAGTCTTTTCACCTTAACCTGTCCCCTACTCTTCACACTCTCGACCTTCGATTTCGCCTAGCATATGGAATTCGCATTTTTATCGGAATTAGGGATATCAGGTGTTATTAAACACGATTTCTCTAATAAGTGACCTCGGTTTTACCTTTGAGGGGAGATAACTCTCGATAATCGGCGTAGTGTTTGGTTACCAGGGTCAAATGACGACTGTTATCACTTGGAATGGGACAAGGAAATTACTTATTATTTATGCCAGTGATATGCTCGGCCCATAGCCGGGTGTGTTTTTTTAATCCCTGATACTTTGGTCACATGTAGATGCCTGCTTTGTGAAAAAGAACGGCAGCCACCGAAACAAAGGCAAAATACCATTGGTTTGCGGAAGGGGTGAGGATGTCGGATTCTCAGAACATGTTTCTTCATATCAGGGGCCTCTAACGTGGAAAAGTATGGCACTAATTTTGAAGTTGAATATTTTTCTGTTATCCCCACATCACATTTTCGTTCTGACAGGATTGAAATACATTTTCCTTCAAGCCGTATATCCCCGGCATCAAATCAACTTCTTAGATTGTTTGTCTGGCACAATGCACGTGCACACCGTACGGTAGAGTCAGCCCTTCATCAACCTAAATTGACGCCGTCCCTTGTGGCAGGCGATAGGTAGGAATCTTATCTCAAGTTAATGATATTAATCACTCCGTAACGTCAACAAAAGATACAAACATCTTTTTTCACAGCGATTCATTTCCACACTGTTTAGCAGATCCAGAAATTGAAATCAGAAACTTTTCAAATAGTCTCTTTTACTACCCAACATGAACTTTTAAAACCAAACATTTTTATTTAATTCGACTGGGTAAATGTGTGTCTTCTCATATACTGATGTTTATTAGGCTGGAGGTCGACATTTAGCAAAAGGATTATAAACGTGTTCTGTCGCGGAGGTATTTTCCCGATAATATACCTCCTGTTTCGTTTCTTTCTCCCCAGACGCTGGTCGAAGGCTACATCTGACTAAATCAAATCTAAATGTGGTAGCTATCTAGGAATTCCGATCCGTGTTCGTTTTCCGGTTCGGGTTTTATACTGACAACTGTGACAACTGCGGGATTGCCGATCCAATATGGCAGCCATTGAGAAATTCCTATACTCTCTCACGGCGAAGGATTCGAGCATCTGTTTTTATTTATCTGACAATCTGGTGGCCATTTTGTAAAACAGTTTATCCAAACAGAAACAGTCTGGCTGTGGGCTGCAACGGCAGCGACTCGGCCTTTAATTTTCGTTTACCTTCGCAAATGGCTGGCGTCATTTCGGCCACTTACCCATACACGTGCGCAAATGCCCAATAGGATTAGAGTCAATTTCCTTCTCAACGATGCTTCAAAACACGTATCGCATATTCTTCTTTTTTTAGGATTCAGTTTTAGTTGTAAACTCACGTGACGTGAATGTCTCACGTGACTAACAATTCAGTAAATACATTAATTAATTAACTGAACATATTATTAAAATAATAGAAGAAATAAAAGAAGTCTCGCAATATTTACATCCATAGAGATTTGCAATTAATGTATTATAATTAATGTTCTTTAATCTGTAACACCTCCCAATAGTTTTTGCTGCGTTAAATATTCATCAAGCCAGAACAGCACATTTCCTTTTGTCGATTAATGATCGTCCAGTTTTTTTGCCCATCTTGCGCCAGACGACATTGGAAGCAAGGGAGCAGACGATCATAGATTCGCGCCACCTGCCCCGTCTCAGTCCTGCTCTGCTTCGTCGGCAGAATTAGAATACCAAAGCATTGTAACTGTATCAAATTCAGGTGCGCTTTCCTTCAAAATAATCGTCTAGAATAATTTATTTTTGAAACTGAGAGCATTATTCTCACCGCTACGTGCGTTACAGATAAAGTTTGGAAAGTAAATGATGAGACCCGTGCACTGAGGATTAAAATTGTATCTTTAAGGAGTTGTCTTCTCAAATTTCTTGAATTCGTTTGCTGAACCTCGAGTGCAGGCGTTCATTGTATACTGCTATCGCAAGTCCACACTAATTTACTATTTCAATTTAACTATAGTTGACGTGATTAAGACGGGGAGTTTTGTAGGAGGTTTGTATGGTTCCAAGATTCTATTTTATGTGTTTTGTGGGAAGTCTTCTTTTTAAATCTGTATTATCTGTCCTTTTTTCATTTATTTATTTGTTGTTGTTTTTGTTTTTTGGGTTTTTTGGGGGTGGGGGTTGCATTTTCTTTTCTTTCTTGAGGAATAACTTACTGATTTCGATTGCTCTAGTTATTGCTGTCGATTTGCAAGAGAGGAATATTTGTGTCCGGTACATTCAACAAAATATTTATTAACAACAAAATCACTTACCCTCAAAAAGATTTAGAGAACACCCTCCTTCAGTTGCTACAGTTATTCCTTCTTACCATAGACTAACTATAGTGGTACTAAGGAACTAGGTGCTCTTTAAATACTTTTGAATAATTTATGTTAGTATTTAGTTATTAAATAAGAAACCTTAACTGTTGGATTCATTGAGAACAAGTCAATAAATGCTTTGTGGTACATGCAGAGAACATGACGTATTGCAATCAACTGGAATGAATACGTATGGTAAACGACAGTTTGTAAAAAGACGATGGAATGTGAAAATGCGGGTCCATGGATAATAGACCGCTCTGCGTATATGTATATATTGTGTGTTCAATATCTGTATATGAGGAATCACTTCTGTTGAAATCGCTTGTTTTGTGATGTACTAAGAGTGAATTCAATCAACCAGTCGGTTTTTGGTGGTGCTTTCAAAGATCCCATTGGTAAAACCTATCGCTTGAAGTTTATATTGATTTATTTCCATGTCTCTTTATGTCGAACGTTTATCAGCTGTTTGAGTTCATTCCTGTGTAAAAGCCATGGCATGTTTAAGTCGAAATGTTCACCTGGTGTCTTAGACATTAATTTCTACGCATTTGAAAAGTTTGCCTCAAAACAACAAATTCATGATGGTTTCTATTGTTTTGTTTTTTAACAATGCTTGGAACATCCTAAATATGAAAGATATCTTTTATAGTTATGGCATGCTTTCACTTCTGATAAAAGTGTCCAGACTCGAATCCGTGTCGATTCTTCAAATGGAATTCCCCCTCGCAGCTATACTATATTGTTCTGTCTCATGTCGTCATCAACTTTGTTGGTTTACATCACTACTTCGTGTGTATTACGTCATTGTAGCGTGCGTGTTTTACGCATTGTCTGTTACGGTCAGTTTTCTTGACAAATCATTTACAGTTTATTTGACTGTGTATATATATACATCGAAATAAACAAATATGTTTAAACAATATCGTATTTTTTATTCATCAAAGAAAGACACAGATCTTTCCAACGAGGTTATACTCTGCAAAAGGAAAAATAGTTTGTTTTCTCTGTCTCTCTGGATGTTCGTCCAGAAGTGGCACAGGTCGAAGTCCGCTGAAGTGCAAAACACGAGCGAGGGTATGGCGCTGACAGTGAGTGTGTTTAGTTTTACGCCGCTTTTATCAATATTCCAGCAATATCACGGCGGGGGACACCAGAAATGACTTCACACATTGTACTCACGTGGGGAATCGAATCCGGGTCTTCGACGTGACGAGCGAACGCTTTAACCATTAGGCTACCCCACCGCCCCTTGGTGCAGACAAACCCATAAACATAACGAAGACGAATCTAAATTCGAACCTTATATTAGCCAGATAATGATCCCTGGCTTGCCACCATGTCCTTCTTGCGTTTACCCGGGTCCGTTTCCACACACATTGTGTTAAACCCATTTCTGATGTCCCCTGCTGTGATATTGCTGGAACATTTTACACTAAAATCGGTGTAAAACCATATTCACTCATTAGTCACATTAAAATGGTACACACTTTAAAACGCACTTGTTGCCAAAGAATAGTATGCCAAAAGCATCGAATGGTAGAGTGAATGGTATGTGACACATAATTAGCTTCATAAGGGTGGCACACAACATGGACTGCCAAACTCGTGGTAAATAGTTATTCCAGTCCTATAAGACGTCGACCCCTGAAGGTCCGGGTTAGAATGAACCTTCAGTAACCCATGCTTGTCGGCACCCCTGAAGGTCCGGGTTAGAATGAACCTTCAGTAACCCATGCTTGTCGGCACCCCTGAAGGTCCGGGTTAGAATGAACCTTCAGTAACCCATGCTTGTCGGCACCCCTGAAGGTCCGGGTTAGAATGAACCTTCAGTAACCCATGCTTGTCGGCACCCCTGAAGGTCCGGGTTAGAATGAACCTTCCCATGTAAGTAACCCATGCTTGTCGGCACCCCTGAAGGTCCGGGTTAGTAATGCTTGTTTGCACCTTCAGTAACCCAGTATGCTTGTCGGCACCCTGAAGGTCCGGGTTAGAATGAACCTTCAGTAACCCATGCTTGTCGGCACCCCTGAAGGTCCGGGTTAGAATGAACCTTCAGTAACCCATGCTTGTTGAAGGTCCGGGTTAGAATGTACTTCAGTAACCCATGAAGGTCCGGGTTAGAATGTAACCCATGCTTGTCGGCACCCCTGAAGGTCCGGGTTAGAATGTACCTTCAGTAACCCATGCTTGTCGGCACCCCTGAAGGTCCGTGTTAGAATGAACCTCCAGTAACCCATGCTTGTCGTAAGAGGCGACTAACGGGATCGGGTGGTCAGGCTCGCTGGCTTGGTTGACACATGTCATCGGTTCCCAATTGCGCAGATCGATGCTCATGCTGTTATCGGCACCCCTGATCACTGGATTGTCTGGTCCAGACTCGATTATTTACAGACCGCCGCCATACAGACACATGGAATATTGCTGTTGATCACTGGATTGTCTGAGTGCGGCGTAATATTGCTGAGTGAGGCGTAAAACTAAACTCACTCACTCACTATAAGACGTTGAACTACACATCAGTTGTTAGAATACGACAAAACCCGTAATCCCCACGGATAGAGGTATTCATTGAGCACGTATTCCAAACGCTGCTTAATCACCAAACGAGGCTTACATTATCCTGCTAAATGTAGCATCACTAGGTTTTCTAGAGATCGGTCCTACCCAAACAGTTGTGATAACACGGGTGTAATGAGCAGAAAGGGAATTGCACTGTGCTGTTTGCGGTCACGTGTTACTTTAGCTCTTGCAGCTTTTAGGTATCGCTCCATGGCTATCTTCAAAACTTCTGACTTCCTGACTTACTAGTGGTCGAAGGCTAAGGTCAAGGTCCTCTAGGTTGCGAGATCATCCGGGTTACCAGAATTCCAAGGGGCATAAACCCGTGTCAAGTTCGGGGCCTCAGCTAACACAACTCGTTTGTGGAATGTCATTATCTTCGCCTGGTGGTAGGTTTCTACTATCTCCCCGATGTACAGAGCTGTCACGCCAAGATGAGACTGAAAAACGTAAAACGTGGCGCTGAACCTAGATTGGCTCACTCACTGTTCAGACGACGAGCAGAGAGTCCAGAATATTTCAATTCGATGTCCAGCGCCCAAGAAGCCAATGTGCAGTAAAATTACACAAATAGAATAATCAATAGTGCCAGATTCTACGTATATTACGCCATACTGTTCCATTCAAATGGAACCTTGTGAAGCTCCATGCAGAATTCCTCAGCGCCTCTCTTATGGCCTGTGAAAAAACATCAAAATGTCCTTAGATGCCGTCCTCGTAGACTCAAAAGACATCAATAGAACCAGACATTTGAAAAGCCTTCGAGGAAATATTTTCTTTCCAAAAATCAATAAACGAGTCGCGAGGATATTCTCAAAAACAAAGCCCTATTTTCAAGAGGCGCGGTTTGCCGCAAACGCTGCTATTGGCCGGAAGCCATCTTACCACCGTCTGGATAAAAGCCAAACTTAATTACGCGAGTATGAATATGTCGCCGGAGGAACTACTTTTCAGGTTTCGACCAGTGACAGTACAGGGTTTCTTTGTTGCTGAAATTTTGCTTGAAACCATATCTGGGTAAGAACAGCGGTGTAAAAACAAAGGAAATTCCTCGGGCAGTTGACCCAAAATTTGCAAGGAATGAATAATACTCAAAGGTCTTTAAGTAAAGCTCCGTTTCCGCCGGAATTGATGAGAGAATTGTGGGGAGAATAAGAAATAGGGGTCGTCTCAAAATTAGTGAAGGGGAAATACTTGAGAGTTCACGGTGCAACGGGGAAATTATTTTCATAGCACATTGGTCTCCTATGTATGACTCCAGCATATATACTGTATATTTGAATAAAATTCAATTGCATGCAACCAATCTTTCCGAGTTATCTCATTTCGAATGTGTATGGATTTCGCCTTTTTTTAAATATATGGGCAGCTAAACAGAAAATCAAGAACTATATGCCTGTATAATAATTAGACACGGTTTAATAAATATCTTCATAAGAATTGAACACTAATTTTAATCGTATTATTGTTCAAATATGACAAAAATACAAAAACCGAAATTATGCTTCGTTTTGCAGCAATTCCATGGCAGGGCAGATACCATACATTGGTACATATCTCTGGCAAAAGTATGGGCTTGTGACTTTCATCGTTTTCATCTTTCTCTGCTTCAATGCATCAAATGATGTGACCCGATATTTGTGATCTAGAGGTTCTGGAAACGATGTAACAGTGTTCCTGTGTCAAGCTCTGTGTTGTGCGTGTGTCTTGGAGGCCGTAGTGTTAAAGAAGCCAAGGGCCGACTTTGGGATTTCAAATGTCTAGGCGCTGTGAAAATCGCGTCACTTGGGCACTACACACATATTTATTGTTGGTTGGAATCTGGGTTCGAACCCGATTCTCTTTCCAGGTTTGTCAGTGTAGTGTTCACCAAAGAGGTTAACGTCTCAGACTTCCATCTGCTCCGGGGGCGGTGGGGTAGCCTAGTGGCTAAAGCGTTGGCTCGTCACCCCGAAGTCTCAAGCGGCGTTAAACCATACTCACTCACTCACTCACTCCATCTGCTCCGACCTCCTCCCACGTCAAGGTGACAGGCCGTGATATAAGGAAAATACTGTTCCAAGTCCATCTAGATCCGGGTTAGAACTGGCCCCGATTAAGTCTGAGTTTTTACTCAAATTTGAGAAATGCATTTCCCAGAATGAAATAAAACCGATATTGAACTCAAACATAGTAGACAATTTGGGTTTGGTGTATAA